TGCTAAATCAAATGCTAGCAAAGAACAGCTCAAGGATTGTCACAGTGACACCTTTGAGTCTTGCACTCAAAGCTGAGAGGGCCTCAGGAAGCTTCTTGGATTTGTTTATGACTGGTTCTTGCTGCTATAAACGGCACAGGCCTGAAGTGAAGAGGAGGACAACGACTATACTTACAAAAGTGCTAGGTTCCTCTGCCAGTGTTTCATTATTGATGGACAGCAAACTATGCTAATAAGGGATGGAAAATGCAAATAAGTTTCAACCCTCATGCATCTGCTATAGCTCAGTCTGAACCTTTCATAAATGTGTTATCCTTGGACAGTTTCTGGAGGTTTTTGCAGATATTTAATTTTAACAAATCCAATGATTGGAGTGCACCGACAAGAGACAGGAACCAAACTTCTAACTGCATTCTCCTAGACAAGATATCAATAACTTTTTAAAAACAAGTCCTTCTTGTTACTTTTTTACTGTATTTTTAGTTATTTTTATGTGTTCTAATGATATATTGTGTTTTTACAGGCACACACAGAATTACTGCTGAGATAAATAGTTTTAAAACATCTTCATGGCTCTTTAAGACTTTTGTATTGTACATATGATGTTTATGTTCAATTCATACAGGACAAGAAAATAAGTTTCTATGTGATTTACACTTTACCGTCACACCCACGACATTCATGCATAATAAACAGCTCCAGCTGCCAACAAGTAGGAAACATAAAACGTTTAGCATAATTTCAAGCTTCATCCAACTAGTGATGCAGCCTGCCATTAGGATTATCATTACTCAGTTTACAACCAATGATCAAATTTGGAGAAAATTTCAAATTGTCTGAAAAAATTTGAAGAAAATATCTAAATGTGATTTTCTGATCAATATTGATCAACAATTATTTTGTATAAATGAAGCTCCAGGCCCTTTTTACCCTAAGGAGACCATCACATCTATTTTTGTCAGGCTTGAGGCTTGAACTCTGAATGTAGCGTGTCAGACAGCCAGTGCATCTCTGAGAGCTCTGCGTTATTAGCTAAATGTCTGCTGTATGTTTGTTATTACACCTAAAACTTAGAAAATTGTACTCAAAAAGAAAATCGCTGCAAAAATGTGGCTATTACTGCTGTTTAAAATTCTCTTCTTCATTAATAATATGATTTCTCAGTGCATCGATTTATTTGATATGTAAAGAAAGTGATCAAAGCTGAAAAGACACAGATACATTTATTTACTGCATTTTTGAACAAGAAAATGCATGAACAGGAATATGAGTCAATCATTTGTGCTTCACTGTTAGCAATAAGCTCACCTGAACTGTGTTCTGAATGAGACTGTGTGCTTGATTGAAAAAAAAACTTCCAACAACAAAGGAAGTTTTGCGCATAGTTTACAGAGTGTAGAACACAGAAAGCACAGACTCTCAGCCAGCAGATTTAATGGGCCATCACCAAATTCTCAGACCGGACTGTTTGGTTCCGCAGAGTAAAAAATATTAGTATGACAATATTGACCCACATGTCGATTAGCACAAGACTGACATAACCAAGGGTCATTATAGTAGGCAAAAGCTACAGTAATCCTTACAGAACCCAGAAAGCACCGTTCATAAAAACTTACTTGCATTACTGTATTTCCTCAAGCAAAACCTACCCCATCCGAACAGTACTTCAGAGTCCTATCACAAGGAATACTTTAATCAGCACTGACTTTGAAGTGTATGCAGACTTTCATTTCATGACCAACTTCCTTAAGAGATTTATCACCATGATAAAACGGCAGAAAAATGTTGGATGATTGCAATAATTAAAAAATGAATGTAGAAGGATTAACGGTTTATTGAGCCAGAAATACCATTCATGTCAAGGTAAATTTACAACTGTAGCACTTTCCCAAGATAACTGTAGTTCTATCCTCACGCAAAGTCAAACACTAAAAGACATTAAGAGAAAGCTGGTGTGACTGTCTTCAGGTACAGGTGCCTCTTAGCATAACAGAACAGTTTGGCTCTAGGGGAAAATGGACAACAGATTGTTTAACAACAATCTGGCAACACCGCCACAGCAAGTCAGACCAATGCTGACTCGCATATGGCAAATGTTGCAGTACAATAAGAGCACATACAGTACAGTGCAAGAAAAAATGCAGCGTACACATACATACGCACATGCGCATACATTCATACGAGCACAAATATGGCCTACTGAAGTGAACAGACAGCTGAGCTAATCTCAGTGATCTTGTAATCTAAGTGAAAGTTGCTCCAGAGGAGTGCTTGTATATGTGGGTGTCTACGTGGGAGGGTGGATGGGAGTATGTTTATGCGAGTGTGTCTCAGACCTAGTGGTGCGTAGGGGAATTTTGCCATGAATAGGCCTACAGCATAAAAAATGCTGATTCCTCTGATAAGAGTCCTTGGTGCCAAAAGCAATGTGGAAAATTACAAGGAATTGTAGATATCCGTACACAACAACATGCAGGTGGAAAGCATTGCGACTCCAAATCCATAAAAAAGATCACAATTTAGACCCTTTTTTCCATCATTTTAGTATACATACCTATAGCTATGATGGAAAGGAAAATGATTAACATTTCTGGAAAATAGCTGCACACATCTGTCGAGTCAATGTTTATTTATATAGCGTTTTTTACAACATGTGTTGTCACAAAGCAGCTTCATAGAAAAAAATCTGGGTCCAATCCCCCAGGAGCAAGCCAATGGCGACAGCGGCAAGAAAAAAAAACTCCCTAAGGACTAAGATGAGAAACAAAGATAAATATTTTTTTTTTTTCTGTAAATTTTAGTGCATTTATTTTATGCAGGTATTTATTTTCTGAGTTAACATATTGGGAAAAAAACAGAAAATGACATATAAATGTGCTATTACTTATGTCCAGTAGCCTTGATACAATAATGCTAATTTCTGCTAGCCTTTCTAAGTGAACTTTAATGTTGTGTGCTTTAGTGAGATCCTGCTGGTTTGGGTTTTAGTGAGCCACAGCACTTGGCTTAACTGGGAGACTCCCCCTTGTGGAGAATCATCAGACTGCTAAACATGGCTTTATAATGAATTTGGGCTAGATCTGTTAAAGAATCAGATCTGATTTTTTCTATGTTTTCTCTGATATCCAACCACTTCTGGGTTTTAGATCAGTGCCAACCATACCTATAGTACAATTCCAAAGCATTTTGAGCCTAGAACTCTATATGTGGATACATCAGTGGGCTTCTTATTGGCTTGAAGTGAAGAGAATCATCCACTGGGGTGAGAGTACTAGAAGCTACTGCAGCTTCCCTCCTTCTATTGATAACACTGTATGAGCTACTTCCCTTCTGCTCTTGACTATACGGATGGGGCCACTCAACTTTGATCTTTCCAGCATTGAGGGCTTTGGGGGCCGTGTTTGATGGGAACTGGAGAAGTGCTGTGCTGACCTAGAGCCATGGGCCATCTGTCCATTTGGAGACTGTCAAAGGAAGAGGAAGTAGCCCATGCTTTCTGAACCAGAGATGTAGAGGCAGTACTAGAGTTGTGGAAAGTGTGTAGGGACACACATAGACCCACACACACACGCTGGCTTGTGTCAAGGAGTAGGCTGTCGAGGAATAGGGGCTTGGTGATGCATGTCGGTGCCAGAACTTACGAGACAGTCCGGGCTTAGATAAAGTTACAAACACCAGAAAACCATCCCACACAGACTGCAGATAGCAGGCAGAGAGGTTGCTGTCAATTGGCACAGTGCACAATTAGGATAGATGGGGCTATCTGTGGAGCATGTGACCTGCTTCTATAATTATCCTCAGGGGGGTGACAGCATTAAGGCTGTATGTGCGTGTGACTGTGTGTAGACCTTCACACACGCCGACACATCAAAGCCTAGCCTACGGTATGCCCTGCTAAGTTCTGCTATGCGTGCCAGACTGAGTGTGATTATGCACCCCTGGCCAGTCGCTGTTAACACAATGACCCAATCCTCAAAACACGCACTCTTTCACTCAGTAACAAACTCCTGACATTTCTAGAACCACAAAATCGTTATCAAGTTTGATGGGACATTCGGGCTCAAGCTGGGAAATTCTGTGTGATTTCATCATAAATGCACAAATGTACGCTGCAGAATGCACTAAGCTGAAGTTCAAGATCAGTGGTCCACCAATATGCGCATACGTTCACAATGTTAGGGAAATCTGGTAAAAAATTAATTTACTAATAGTTATTCAATTATGTTTTTAGCAAAATGAGCTGATATTCAGTTCATATTTTAAAGAAAAACGAAATTATGGAATGCAAAACTTCAAAGCTTTAGCATTAGCCAGACAAGTTTGGCATAAATGGCTTAACTGATATTGTTATTGCCAAAATCGATACTGATGCAAGCTTATAAACATTATAAGCAATGTAGGCTCATGATAATCAAACTTTGGGAGCCCCTGGTCAAATGTGTTGTTGGCTTCCAAGTGAAAATAATTACACATTCTCCACAGAGAACACTCTTCTGCACATTTTAATGCACAATTACTGTTTATTTACTGATTTTAACAAGTTGGGACAAAATAAAACATAAAATGTGGCCTGTGCCAAAGTTACGGCAAATTTTCTAGATTTATATTTTCTTTTTTTTCTAACATATTAAACTCAAATAAATAGAAATTGTCCCATATACATACAGAAACATTTCTTATTTAAGTTAGTTCCCTTTAGAAGATGTGCTCACTCATTTTCAAAGAACAAAACAGTCAATGTAAACTTTAAAATGACAATGTTAAGGAAAAAAAGCACATTTCAGAAGATTGTTTTTCTTAAAACACTTTTGTGAATCTGGCCCCTGACACAAACAAATGACATACGATTATAAACAATCAAAATGTGATATATAAAGGTAACAGATTACAGGATATTAAAGATGATACCAATTAATGACAAAAAGCCCTCAGCTGAGCGTGAAGTTCCATCTGTGCCTGTTGTAAACGTATTGTGTGGTTTGGTTTAATGAGTCACTCACCCAGTAGCTGCACTCCTCTGGTCAGGCCATAGACATCAATGAGGGCCCAGAGAGGCTCGATGGTGCGAACGCCACTGAAGAACAGCATTGGGCTGGAGTCATTGATACGGTAGAAGACGCGGCCCTTCTTGTCCACCCAAAAGGCCACAAGGTTGCCCTCGTTGGCGAACTCCTCCGGCAGTGCCTTGGCCCAGAAGCCACTCTGTGAGACCAGGTCTGGGCAGGCGTATTTAGGCAGACTGTCGGGGTTGATGCGCGATGGGTCTTTGGAAGTAAAGCCCAGGCGCAGAGCCCCACTCCAGCAGCACTGCTTCTTTGTGATCTGAGGGAGAAAGTCAAAGAGTTTCAGGCTATCATAATCTTAAAATAATCTTGATTAGCCAAATAACTCACTTCTTTTCTTTATTTCACATTCACTATTGCATATTCATTCAGTGAAAAGCACAGTTTTGGCTGTTTTTGAACATCAGGAGATGTATGATGTTGATGTTTATGGCTTGTCTCAGTCCTTCACGACTTCTGAAATTGCTCTCTCCTGTTTACCCCCAGCCCCCCAAAACTTTATACTTCTTTTTAAGCAAGGAACACCGTGCACCTCTGTTTAAAAAGGTGTTGTCTGAATGCCCCCTATAACATCTTTCCCTTTTTTTCATTGACATTGATGGTCAACAATAACTGTAAATATGTAAATGTATATAAATACACTTATAAGCAGGTCATCAGAAGTTATAAAATGTTTGTACCACAGCAATGTTTGAATTCAAATTGGCAAGTTCATAAAGCCTGATGTCATCATATCTACTCTTGTACCTCTTTTACACACATACGCTGCTCTCTGAGTTGATTCAAGGGAAAACTGTGCCTAAAATTCTAATACTGGTAATAATAACTGAAAGCACAAAGCAATCTATTAGCATCATAAATGTAACAATCCCTCCCTTCACCAGCCGTCATTCAGTGCTAGCCATGTTAGCGTCTTTGAATGTGGTATTCCTTTAAAGGGAAGCATATAGTGGAGGCTGGGGGCCGCGCGTGAGGGAGAAGTATGCTGTGTTTGGAGTAGAAGGGGTCTGTTTTATTTGACTTACAGTAACCACTGCCCCAGCTGAGGGGATAAATACTACAAACATGTCAAGAACATGGTGACTTATGCCACGGCGACCACAGCGACCCGGGCTTTTGGAGAATCTCTGTATTTAAAACTGCTACAATATGTGTGCGGGTGTGTATGTGTGTGTGGACAAAAGTGGACAAAGGAATGTGTATAAAATTTTGTTTATAAGAATGTTACTGTGGTAGACAAAAAGAAAGAGTCGTTGAGAGAGAGCATGCGGATGTGTGGGTGGGTTATATACAGTACTGTGCAAAAATCAGAGACTACCCGTTATTTATTTTCAGTCAAAATGGTCATTAAATACAAATTAATCAATTTTCAGTGTGGGAATAAAGCAGAATACAAATATTCAACGGAAAAGTACACAGAAGCCTCAACAACTAAGTATGATATCAAAATCATACTTTCCTTTGTCCACCCTTCGACTTCCATTTCTTTTCAGGAGGCTTGCTTTGAGTTTCTCAAACCCCAAACTCCAAAGTTCAGTGCGAGAAGTAGGTTGCATTCCCAAATCCTAAAGACATTCAGTGATATTTAGGTCTGAACTCTAGGGTGGACAGACCATTGTTCTGAGAACACCAGCAGCAAAGGTTATTCTTTTTTTGTCAATTTCCTTTTCTCAGTAAGGGCTTCTTTATCCTCTCAGACTCATAGTGTTGAGTTGTCTTCTCTCAGTGGAAGGATGGACAGAAATACTTGTGGATTTTTCAGATCTGAAGTAAGAGTGAAGCTTGATTTTCTCCTCTCTCTCAAAGATGAAAGCTTTAAGTGCTATTTTTCTGATGGTGACAGTTCTTATGTTCTACAAAACTCCTGTTTTTTTCACTCATTTTCCCTTAACTTTACCTTGCCTTATGCAAGTGGATTCTTTTGAATCTTTCACATATTCTCCTGAAAAATGAATAACTTTTAGTTAATGGCCATTTTGACTGGAAATGAAATAAATGAAGGGGGGTCTTTCTGACTTTTGGACTGTACTGTATGTGTATCTAGCTCAACTGCTAAAGCATTAAGCAGTTGAGCTAGATTGAGTGTCAAACTAAAAGGTTGGCACATTAAGCCCTAGCTCTCTCTCTCTGTCCCTTTTTTTGGTCTCACGTATGTGAAAAATTAGCATCGTAAGGAATGATATGAGAATAAACAACAGCAGAATAAAGGGGCAACAAACTGATAGCAGGATTTACCTTCACAGTCGAGCCTGTGAGAGTGTGTTTGTGTGAGTTTGAGGTGTTGAAAAGATAAGACTGTATATTTGTGGCTCTGCATGTTTGACACTGTCAAACAGAGATGCCCGACAGAGATGTTTATTTTTGGACAGGTTTGTGTTTGGTGTGTAGGTGTGTTGCAGTACTGCAGATGATTTCTTGTTTCATCAAGCCTACAGTATGAAAAGTAACCCATATATTTTTTCCTTCCTCATCTCTACACATTGTTCCACCAGTAAGGTTGATTTGCACTTGTGTGAAGATGCATGTAAATGTATTTGAGTCACAAAGAAAGGGTTCATGGGCGAGCATCGCTCGCAGAATCCACAATGTCCACACCTCCAAAATTTCAACTAAGCCTCGTGTGAATCTACAGAGCTGTGTGTCAAGCACATGTTTATTAGCTACCTGGTAACATTGTGGGTGGGACAGAACCCAACAGTTCTCAACCTGAACCAGAACTAGTGCAAAATCAAATGGAGAAGTTAGAGGACCAGCTGGCAAAAGACGTGTGATGTTAAGAACATTTATAAGACCCATCTTCAAAAAATTATAAAACAGCAAAGCGAGTTTTCATTCTTGGAGAAAAAACACAAGACTTTCTTCTTCTTTGTTCATTTTCTATTCATTCTGTTCTGGACACTTCCCCTAGACTCATGTTGCACAACACCAATGTAAATGTCTGTTTGTAGATGTAATGTGATAGGAAATCAACATCTATGCAGAATAAATTACAAAAATTAAGCGAAAAAAGTGCAGATATACAGTCGAATGCAAAAAAATCTCCAGGTCAAATAACAAATAAAATGTTGATTTAAAACCATTCTCTACAGAAAACAAAAATATTATTAAATACATTAAACATTTTTTCTGAAAAGTTTAGTGCACAACTTCTACGTGTTTGCTACGTTTAACATATTGGCAAAAAAATGTGCCATAACTTTTGAACAGGCCACATTTCTTTTTTTAATGTTAAATTCAGCAAATGAACAGTAATTGTGTATTATTATGTGTTTTCTCTATAGAGGATGTTTTAACTTATTTTTTATTTAAGAAAATCAACAAAACATGACATTTGGGGGTAACCAGGGGCACATCAAACTTCGCATACGACCGTATATGAGAATCGTGCTGAATAATTAATGCACTTGTAATCAATTTAATCATCAATGCACTCTAAATTAGGGCTGCATGTCACTGATATCTTGATATTGGCCTTTACAGACTAATCGCAAAGTGTGTGAGCATCCTGACTAATGACTCACTATGTAAACTGTTTTTACCAGTTCATCTCATTCTCCCAAGTTATTTCCATGTCGCATTTACCTAGTCAACCAGAAAACTAAGGTAACATCACATAGGTCCAACCAATTTTTTTCCCAATGGGATCCATTTCTTCTAACCAGGTCTTGGCCCCTAAACACTCACCTTGAGGCGGACCTGCTCGTAGAGGGCTATTGGTCTGTTGCTGAAGGTGATGGCATTGCAGAAGCTGGCCTGCCTCTTCACAGTCCTCTGGGCCAGATCCATGACGATCTGTGAACCCTTGGCGCTGGGGTGGAAAAGCAGAGGACTGACGGGGAGGCCCATGCAGGGCTGCAGGGGTAAGCAGCGCTTCGGCTTGTGGTGGCATCGGTGAGTGGAGGAGGGGAAAGGTCCGCCGAGAGAGTCTGAATGACAGAAAGAGAGAGAGAGAGAGAGAGTTAGTTAGTCTGCCTGTATTTTATACAGACCAACCATACAAGTATAGGTTTGGGGCTACAATTATAGCTCAAGAAATCAAAGCAATCAACATTGATTATGAAATAAAGTTTACATGGGTTTTTATTGTCAACAAGATATGTGTTCATTCTGACAGACTGCAATGCACTATAGGAAGCAAGGGAGTGATATGGCCTCTACTGTTTCTGCAAAAGGACACGAACCAAAGAAGGCATAATCTCCAGATTACTTAATTAATCCAATATATCCAAAGTGAATAGGTCAGACAATTATAACAATAATCACAAGTTGCTGTTCTTTTTTTATTATTAAGAACATTATTGCTATAGCTGTCAACTCATTGTGACCAACTGCTTTGGAAATATTGTTTGAAAAACGGTCATGTCTCTATGAGACAGATCAAGAACATGGGACAGAACGTCATGACCATGGATCACACACCATTAATACCACAAGCTGAGAGTATAATGTAGTAGGAAAAAATCTCCTTTCCTCAAATTGTGAAAAAACATATTACATTAAACCTTCTCCAGTCATTATGGCTCCTAATCAAAGTGTATCTAGGCTATCATGCCTGCTTTAGGGAACTACAGTAAAACGTCTATTCTAAAACTTCCCTTTGGAAACTTCAATTAGTAATGCAGAACTCACATGCCTTTAAAACTCATAAAACCCTCCTCTAAAAATGTCCAGCTTGAAGCTACACAAGGTTAAATGGAAAGAAAGTATGTACAGTATGTACAACTCAAGCCAATCAAAGCTTAAAGGCCTGTCCTTTAAGTGAACCAAGCAACATCAGTTTGGCTGAATGGTGCGTTTAGTCTGACCCATTACAGAGAGGGCAACAGCACATTCATGATAGACTCAAGTGTCCTATAATTTCATGCTTTTGATAGGAATTATAATCAGCATAATCTGGGCTCTGTAGGAGACAATACTGAAACATGCCAACCTGGTGTCAGAAGTGAGTCCATGTTTTTACACTTAATTTTTCTAGTTTAGACCAGCATGTGGTCGCAGTATGAGAAGAGGCTGTATGATGGCAGGAGGGGAGAGAACTCTGAAAACTTGGGTGGCTTCCACACCTCCCTTGTTGAACAGACATAGCACTGGAAGATAGCACTGGGGAACAGGGAGGAGATCGGTGGTGGTGGTTGGGTATGAAAACTTTATCACAGACAACTGAAGGTAGAGCTGGAACTTTATAAGATTTTGGGGAAATAATTTCAGGAAAACATCTAATTATGATTTTTGGACCAATGTTTGTTTTTTCAATAAATTAAGATACAAACATGTTTTACACACTTTTGCATATACAGTTTCCTGGCTTTGGGCTTCAGCGCTGAACATAGTGTTCCAGATGGCTGGTTTGCCGTGGTTCTGTTGTTATGTACGCACCTTGTGCGTGTTTAGTTGTTTCGGATTGGTCTAACTCATCCACAGGCAGTTCACAAGCTCTGTGTTATCAAGTAAAAAATCCTTGTTTCAAACCTATAGGTTAACATTAAAACTGCTGCTCTTGTGACTTGAAAATTGTGCTCTTTCAAATGGCAGTTTTGATATAAAAACAACTAATCTTTTAGCCCTTGACATTACACTGGATGGACGAGGAGTTTCAGGTGTTGTTCTCCTACCAAACATTAGTTATTTCATAGCTCCATAAAACACAAGCCATGTTGCAATGAATACAATGAACTCAAGATGTTATAATGACATTACCATTGACTAATAATAACACTAATGGCCATATAAACGACTGAGTTTGAAACCTTTAGGGAGGACTGGTCCAGAAAATAACTATATGATATTAAATTTATGATGACAAATAAATAGATTAAAAATACAGATTCAAAACAAGAATAAAAAGGGAATGTTACTTCTGCACCAGTTATGTAAATGCTTTTTTGTTGAGTTTATAAGAATTGCTAAAGCTGTTCAAGTTCATGGGCTTTTCATGGTATCCACAATATTGCAATTTGCATGGGACACAGACTTATCACTGCTCATTTTCCTCCTAGCCCTACTAGTTTTTGTAACTTTTGATAAAGCCTTGAGATGGCGGTTGCATATAGGCCACACAAAGAACACAAGTTTCTCGTTCCTTTCAGCTGTCATGTCTTTCATGTTATTTGTTTAGACCAATCAGGGATGTTTTGAAGATGTATAATGGAAGTTTACAAAGAATCTAGAGAAATTCTCAGTGTGCCCAACTCTGTGCTGTCAGAGACAGCAGGGTAACATGACACTAATAGAAAACAGCTCAATTTTACCAACTATGAATCAGCTTCTGGGAAATGTAGTTTCACTAAACTGAAATTACAAGACACATAAGTAGGCCCGACAGGCTATCGCTTTCTTTGCGTCCTGTTCCAGAATCAAAAGAAGCCCCATCTTTGTTCCTGCCTTTCAATTTATCAAAGCCGGTAAAGCTGTCACGGTGACATTATCAGTGTGCTCCACTGGGTTCCAGCAAGCTTTGCCATTATGTCCTGTGAATCATAAAAATGTTGGGTGGCTGTGCTGGTACTTGCCGTTCAACACTGATAAGGTAACGGTGTCCCTGTGTAGACGAGGGATTGTTCAGTCAATAGAAGCGAACCTTCTTTGCCTCTATCTGACAACCACAGGCCTAGCTGTTCTGTTCAAACATAATTACTTTCCCAAAGGATTTCCATCAGTTTGAGTATGTGTGCATGTTTGTGTATTGTGTGTGTGAGAGACAGTTCTCTATGACTAAAGGAGCATACAAATATATCAGTCACGTGAAAACATTATCCTAAAATATGAGAAGGAAACAATAATGCTTCCTGTTAGGACTTGTAAGACCTAGTAGACCACCAAAACTGTCACCATCAGATAAAAAGTACTTAAAGCTTTCCTTTCTGCTTCAAGTGTTTCTGTCCATCTTTCCAGTGTAGACAGAAGACAGCTTAGTGCTATCAGTCTGAATGGAAGTGTATCTTTTAAGAGGCAGTTACTGAGAAAAGAAAATAGATAAAAAAAGAACATTTTCACTGGAATACATCTGAGATGAAAATACTGGCATTGAGAGAAGCAGAAAACGCAACCAACTTGTAAGACTGAACTTTTGAGGGGAGGAAAAATATCCCTGCAAATTTCTTTTAACTTAAAGTTTTTTCCCCAAAAAGAATGGAAGTAATAAAGTAATAAATGTAATAAAGACAAAGGGTGGAATCAGTAAATAATGAAAAAATGTATATTATATGTAGTTGTTGAGGCTGGTGTTAAATATACTTTTCTGTTAAATATGTTTTCTATTTTTTTCCTGAATAACTTGTACTTAATGGCCATTTTAACTGTAAAGTAAATAAATAAAGGGTGATCTCTGACTTCCACACTGTACTATGTATACAAAGATATGTGTCCTCAACATTTTGAGCACTTGTGATTGTATGTGTATGTATGTCTGTGTCTCTGTACGACAGGGCCTGGAGTGCGTGTGTGTACATAAGTGTTTGTGTATGTGTGTGTGCATGTCTTTTGGGAGATGATCATTGTGTGTAGCACACACGGTCAGAGCAGGCTGAAATGAATGCATTAGCAAGCACAAGAGGCACAGCTGTCAGGGAGAAAATGGAGGTTAAGTAGGAGCTCATGTTCCTTAGCAACACTGCACCAAGTATAACACACCCCCATTCAGCTGATCTGAGACCAGTCTTGACGATTTTCTTATAACTGTTAATAATTACCACTTTATAATGGTCCTGAATAAGCAACAACAAAAAAGCTTCTAAAAAAGCAGATCTGTGAAAAGCCTTTTCCCAACAAGCACTACTAAATGTTATTTTAATAATAAAACCTTATATTTCTGAAATGCTAACCTTAAGAGGAAAGGAAAAATGATCTGAAATTTAATGTATGTTAAAGTACCTATATATTACATTTTGTGTTTTATTTTTTCCCCTCAAGCTCACATATAATGTTTATGTGGTTTTACATACTAAAAAACCATCATAATTCATTTAACATTGGCATTTTACAACCTCTCTTTGAGCCTTAGAATTGCTTTTAAGACTATTATAGGTAAATGACCTCTGTTATGATTGGCTACCCTGTATTGCACCTTGCTCAAAAACAAACATAATTTCGGCATGAATAGGTTTTGATAATATAAACCATCCACGTGGGCCTAAAGATGCCAATGGCTCTTACACAGGCTGAAGCTGAACATATGGAAAGATGCAGCTTGTATGTGGTCGTAACATAAAGTACATGTGAAGCGTTTATGATGTATGTTAAAATGGAGACTGGGGTAAAATGATCCAGCGTTTCACAGCAGATTCCCGAGAGTGAAAGGGCATTACAACATAAAGGGTAAATACTCCACGCCACCTTTATAGCACATATCACATGACTTATCATTGCCTGCAAGTCATAAAGCGTGTCATTAAGTGTTATTACACTGTCAGTGGGTGCATACACACACACATACACGCGCACACTGGGAGCAAGCACTGTGAGCTTTCAGTGAACTCAAACTGCTTCTTTGCTAGAGATGTATCAGGATGCTGCTATTTCTATGGCAACCCCACTCTTTCAGCAAGTAACTACTGCACAGTAGAACGCACTTACATAAGAACACATAAAAACAGCTCTGGTACATTTTGATCAAACTACAGCCACGTCGCTTCAGGCTCCTGCAGAAACACACTGGTGCTGATAAATGGTCTTTAAGCTCAGTCATGTGGCTCTTTCTCTCTCTTTTTCATGCAAAATAAATGTACGGAGGGACTCTACTCACCATCTACACATGTGCTTGGCCATAGGTCAAAACATGCATTCACATTCATCTTATGTCCATTTCTTTATGTACAGTTTCATACAACCCAAACAAAGTCAGAACTTTTGGCTCAGGCATGCATGTCAATAGATTGTTCTACAATTGACCTATTCATTGATTAACCCCCCACCACTTTGTGAGTGCATT